CTCTCTCTCTCTCTCTCTCTCTCTCTCTCTCTCTCTCTCTCTCTTCTAGCCACGATGTAGTAGTGTTCCTCGCACTGTAAAATGGCTCTCCGCGTGCCTCGCACTCGCACAACCTTGAAAAGGTGAGAGTCCGGATCCTGAGAGGTAAGAGGAGAGCGGAAAACGCCGTGAGAGAGAGGGAGAGAGAGAAAGGGAGAGAGAGAGAGAGAGAGAGAGAGAGAGAGAGAGAGAGAGAGAGGGTGGGAGGAGGAGCAAGGCGTTGCTTTAATGAGAGCAAAGGTAAAATGCAGCCCTCGTCGAGGGGTGTAAGTAACAAGGCGAGAGCGGATGCCTTATTGTGTCTCGTTTGCCGCGTTAAGCCAAATTCTCATCTGATAAAAATGTATTTCTCGCATCTTCTTGAACAAAGTGGCGTCCCTTTTGGCGCCAGACGCCGGGTGAAAAACGTCTACTGCGTTGTCCAACCAATAATTTAAATCAAGTGGTTAAAACCATTTGGTTCATTTAGAGAAACTTTGAAGTTTCTGGTTCATGGTCCCAGCCGTTCTGGGAAACCATCTACAAACGTTTTTTACCCTGAACTAAAAGATGAGTATTAACGGTACTGTGCAAATCGTACTCAGAACTCTCGTGTCCTCACAAAACTCGAGTCAACCCATCGGTAAATTCAGAGTGGTTCCCATCAATTTTGCCGGTGTGTGGGCCGCCGTTGGACCACTGGAGGGAGCAACTCACTCCGCTTCCCACTGGGTCAGGTGGAAGGGCAATGCTGCTGCACGAGCACGGCGACAGAGGGGATGATGCGGTTGCGTGCAGGCGGGGGTGGGGCAGGGGGGGTGGGGGAGAGGGGGGGTGATAGGCGAGGCGAGGTGGGGTGAAAGGGGTCCCTTTTGTGCGCCGCTCATACGGGGGGCGCTGTTGTCGTGCGCATTAGCATACACTTGCCCCACACCTCTGCTCCCAACAACACCCCGCCCCGCGCCCTTCTTTCCTCTCTGCTCTATGAATCCCCTCAGCAGGTTGACTAACCTCACATCAATCACGGACGCACAGACCGGCTGCGGGAGGCCCCAAAGTTTTTCCATCCCCCGTTTTGGCTTGCACTCAATCAGCGCCTAACTTCCGCTGCTGCTGCTGCTGCTGTTGCTGCTGTTGCTGCTGCTGCTGCTGCTGCTGCTGCTGCTGCTGCTGCTGCTGCTGCTGCTGCTGCTGCTGCTGCCCGGCTCCGGCCTGCAGGGCGCACTTGCCTCGGGTTGCCTGCCGCTCGCGCCGCGGAAAACCATTACAAATGATTAGCTATCGTGAAGTTTGCCGGGCCGACGTCGGGCGGGCGGCGCAGGCGGGAGGAAGTAAACCAGCAGCGCAGCGCGCGGCAACAACTACACCGGCGGGCTCAAAAACACAAACCACACAGTAAAGAACTAATGCAAATGTTGGTGTGCCATAAAAATAAAGTTACAACACTAATGTGTCTGTTGTTGAATGGAATTTTTTAGCGAACGGTTTCCTGAAAATACTGTCGCACGGTAAAAACAGTTCCCTGATGTTCCGGGACCGAAACACCGAATCATGGACGCCTCGTTGTCTTCCCTTACCTCCGTCTTTGAATCGGTGGATTTCAAGGGGCTGTTTTTACCTGCGGACGTCTTCCAAGAGCACAGAGATGTACAAATAACAGATCGTTTGACTTTTCCTTCCCTTGAAATGTCCTCGGCCGCGGCTCGAGTCGCCTCCTGGACGCGCCCTGCACGGTGGCGGTGGAGGGTGGGGGCGGACCTCCCCTCCTAGGGCCCTGCTTCCCCCGGCCTGCCTGCCGTCCCCGATGCGTCCCCGGCCCCTGGCTGCCGCTGCTGCCGCTGCTGCCGCTGCTGCCGCTGCTGCCGC